GGATGGTAATTAAAAATGGAGTAATAAAATTGGGACTAAGAGAGATACAAGATAATAAAGCAATTTGGTGTTCAATCGGACGTTAATTGAACACATGGAAACTTGGGCCATTTCATACTTGCTAGTGATGAAATGGTTCAAGTTTCTAAGGTCAACCACTTTCCTTGATCAATCTATGATAGGGAGGAGGTTTTGTTGGTCTTTTTTTTTACCATTTATTGAAATTGCATCCCTTGGTTCATAAGTCATCACGCAATGAAATTGCGCTCATTGATGGCTTGTGAGTCGAGCCAACTCCTCCTTTGAGCTGTTTGATGATAAGGAGAGGTAGGGTGGACAAACATTTCCTGAGAATACTCTATTTGTGCTCTATATGCTTTCTGTTGCAACAAAAGGAACCAAGCATTAGTGGCTGGTAGGCCACTTTTATTGGGCGACAGGCTACTTTTAGTGGCCGGCCGGCCGGCCACCACTTCTGACCTACCAGCCACTTTTATCAAACCAAACCGTACCTTTTTTTGGCATAGAATAGAGCAGAGGCTGAGGTAAAAAAAAAAGGGGTGCAATTTTCTAATTGTGCAACAGAGGCATTCTGGCAGCAAAATAGGGGACTTTTTCGGGTGAAAATCCGCATGCATGCATGAGCATTCCTCACTTCCCGGGGCTGATTAGTTAGAGTAGTTACTTACTTAACTTAGCTATTTCTTTTGGTTGTATTCGTATTGTTAATTTGTAATTAATTAATTTGTGTAATTAATTAGTTTGTTCTAATTTGTAATAATTAGCTAGAATAGTTAATTAATTGTGGTGTTGTAATAATTAGCAAGCATAGTTAGTTTATTTAATTTGATTTGTAATATTTAGTTAATTCGTAGTAATTAGTTAACTAGTTAGTTTATTCGCACCTTCATGTGGGAGGGCACAATCTAATAATGTGCATGTCTTCCAACCCCATGTCTTTCTCCCTTTTATTTACCCGCTTATGATGGTAGAGTAGAGCATCATGTTTACTTAGTATTTCTCATGGTTTGCATTCAGTTGTCTTGCATGCATTAGGCTTGGCACATCATTCTTACTCACATTTGTTATTTATTGCTTACTTGAGTACGTGCTTGAACTGCATGCTATCAAGTTGATTCACATGCCGTGTTCAGGAGCTGAGCCTATTAATTGCATCTTGTATACGTTGCATTAGTCATAGTGCATTAGTTAGGATCATGCATTTTTTCTAACTATTTTATTTTCTTTGGCTTGCCTTGGAGTACTAGGTGAGCATTTTTTGCTTTAGCATATTGCATGCGTGTGAGTGTTGCCATACCAAGCATATTACCATGAGGCTACGTGCTTAAATGATATATCTATTTGGATGCCTGTAGATGAAGGCTAATTGCCTAATTTGGGATAATTTGATAAATGTACCTATGATATCGCTTTTCCAAGTGGTACATAATCAAAACACTTTTTCAAAACAAACATGAAATCAAAATATTCCAACTTTTGCAAATTAGTCTATACTTGTGTATGTGTCACATAGTAAACTTAGCCTAATAACCGGAACAAGAGCATATAACGTAAATAAGAATCACATCATGATTAGTAGAGGCCGATCTTTGATCAGGCGAGCGGGGGTGCTCAATTCGTGACCTTTCCCTCTCGTACCTAAGTTCCCAAGCCGAGACACTTTGGCAATAACGGACACATAGCCTTTGGCACGAGTCTCGGGTTTCCTAAATTTTCCAAAAATATTTAGGTGGGGACTCTGTATCTAGCAAAGTAGTCCATTTTTGAGATTTTGATTCAAAATCGACTTTCCAAAATAATTGCCGGATTTGGACTCTTTTGTGTTTATCTATTTCGCATTACACTTGTGGAATCAGATTCAGAACCATGGGAGTTCGAACTATAGGGTTTGTCATATCCGAAAGGAGCACGAAATGTCAAGCTACACACATTGGCCTTCCCTAGATGATAATGCAACTCAAAGTCATAATCTTCAATGAACTCCATCCACCTTCTCTGCCTCAAATTCAAATCTTTCTGCGAGAACATATATTTTAGACTCTTATGATCATAAAGCACTTCAAAACTCTCACCGTATAGATAATGCCTCAAGATTTTTAAGGCAAAAATCACCGTTGCTAACTCTAGGTCAAGTGTAGGGTAGTTCTTCTCATAAATTTTCAATTGTCATGGGATGTGTGGTGCTGATCTTATGGCTCTCTTTAGTGCTACTTATTAATTCAAGCTACATTGTTAACTTGACATCAATCCTCACAGTGCAACAGTTGACGTCAAATATTGAAGGGATTGACAGCTTGATCTTAAGTACAGATGCAATTAGAGTTCAAGATGGATCATTTGCATATGTTGATGCCCTCCACAAAGGTCCACAAGTAGGCGGTGCAACTGCAATTGTTGACGAGCTTCCTTACATTGAGCCTTTATTATACGAGACCAGTTGCAAATTTAGAACTATGGGACAAGAATTTACTAAAAGCGGATGGGGATTTGCAAGTATTTTCTTAGTATAATCCTAAAGAAGTAATTATTGTTGCAATATTTGGAATGGCTAAGCCAAACTTCAATCAAATAAGATTTTAAGGTGACAAGTTAATATCAATAGAAAACATGACATGTGAGCTGTTACCAAATATATCCTTGTTGCCTAAATTTGATATCTATTTTATATCAGACTTGAGTTTTGGCCAAATCTTATATGCTTCTAGGCTCTAGCATTTATGTTATTTTTATTTTTTATTTTTTTATTTATCAAATAGTGCTTATGTTATTCCAATCACTATTTGATTTCCAAGAAGAAAGTAAGATTGTGTGGGTTGTTGCTAATATTGTATAAACATGTCTATGTGTAGTGAGAACTTTTCTTGACAAAGTTATCTTTAGCTTATGTTTGGATTAAGGATTTAAGTGAGAATTTTAGGATAGAAAAGAAAGGGAAATAAAAATGAACTTTTATTTCATTCACTTTTTGTTTTCTTTTTGTTTTCTTTTTCTTTTTTTGTCCTCCACAAATCCTTGATCCAAATACACAGCCTTAATCTACCGTGTAACTTGATACATAGCATAAAGGTCCAATATGATTATGATGTTTAATTTCCCGACTCAAGCATTTCATAAAGACTCTCCTCCTGTGATGGACTTGTCAACTACTATTCTATGACTTTCAGAGAATGGTGATCTCCAAAGAATCCACGATAGATGGATATCGCTCAATAGGTGCTCTATGTAAGCCAACCAAGTCGATGAAAACATTATGTCTCTCACTAGCTTTAGAGGCGTATTCCTTATTTGTGGCACAACATGCTTCCATGCCCTTACAATATTTTTCTGTAAGTTGTGCCGGCGGTATTGCAAGTACGCCCCGGAGGATGAGGAACAAGATATTGATGAGCCTAAATCTGCTAGACCTAAAAGCACATCACATATGACTAGCTTCGAGGATTCTATTTATAAGAAAGAAGATGAGGTCATGGAGTCAATTAAGCAGAAGAGTGATAGCAAACGACAAGCAAGCCAATATTTTGATGGGCAACCCAGTTCACCTTCTAAGTAAATTTTCATTCGTGGGCTGATTATTTTTTGAGTAAATATCATTTTACCCTCAAACTATCTCTAGTTTTTCACGTGCACCCCCATACTTCTATTTATTTCAATTTAGTACCTGAACTTTCCACAAATTGATCAATTAGACCCCTATCGTCACCTTCTGTCCATAATTGGACGGAATGTGATGAGCTGTCCACCTGAACTTTCTTTTAGAGGGAATATAAGAGGGTTTCCCGCCATATGCAACCTCTCTCTTCTACTATATAACAGAGGCAAGCTCCCAACCAAAAAAAATAGAGCATCTGTTTGGTGGTAAGAGAGAATAAGGAATATAGGGTCATGAAATCTGGGAAGATCGAGCTCAACTGAAGGAAGATGGAGTGCAAGTGACATGGAAGACCTGAGATGCATTTGCTATGGAAGACGAAGGGTGATACAAACATCATGGACTGATGCAAATCCTGGTAGGAGGTTCCTCAGCTGTCCCACGAATGGTTGTAATCAATTCACTTGGGTTGACCCACCTATGTGCTCACGAGCAGTGCAAATCATCCCTGGGCTATTGAAGAAGGTCAATAAGCTAGAAGCAAGATTGCAGACAAGGAATAGAAGAGAGAGAAAACTATGGATATGCTTGGCTACCTCATGTTACATCATTTTATCAATGTGGTTTGTAATGTAGTGTAAGAAAGAATGTAATATGGGGGACTATTATGAATTAATGAATAAAATATTATGAATGAAATGTAATGGGGGGAAATATTATGAATAAAATGTAATGAGGAAAGTATTTTGAATGAAAATTTCAGATTTTGTGTTAAGGTTTTACTCTTAAAAAAAACAAAGCATCACAGCCTTTGTTTGTCCCTTAAAAAACAATTTGTGTTCTTCCTTACAAAAATAGGGCATTATCATTTAATTAAAAAAAAAAAACAAACAAAACAAAACAAAACAAAACAAAAGTGGCATTGTGTGTTACTTTAACTATTTGTCATCCATCCATCAAAATAACTAATTGGTGGCCTCTTTGAATGGCCCCTTCACAACCAATGAATAAAATACCTATCACTGGCATCCATCCATCAAATGGCATTCATTCAATGAATAAAAAACCTATCAGTGGAATTTATTCAAAACACACAATTGGAATCCATCTATGTAATGGCAACCAAAACCAACACAAGCTACATTTACATAGAAATGAGGAGTACCATCCATTAAAATAGAGCATCATGCACAAAAGCAACAGTCATAAATTTGTCATTCAAGTTTTCAAAACACACAATTGTTTGTGACAACCAAAATACTACCTTTACATAGTTAACAAGTTCAGGGCAACCATTCCAAAAAAAAAAAAAATTATTACATGTACAAAAAGCCCCAATGAGAAAGTCATGTAGATGCTTCCTTCTTCTATCCAACCAAAAAAAAAAATGTCAAGTGGGCACTCCCTCTTTCTGTCCAGTGGATGTTGATTTAATGCCGCTAGCATTGTACACTAGCTTGCCTCTCCACATCATTTGACCTTCCTTTGGTGTGCTTGTTGAACTCGTTGGAGATGGAGTTGATTGACTTCCTTGTACCACTCTCCTTGTAACCTGCAATAAGATTGAATTATCCATAATTAAACACAATCAAATATAGGACAGTTAAGTTACTATTTAAAATATTAAAAAAGAAGAAGGAAGAACACTGACAGCCAGTTTCTTCTGTCTCATGTGTCTCTTGACATCAAGTGTTTCTGTAGTTAATTGGCTCTGAGGTTGGCTTGGTTCAGTTTGGCTCCCCTGAGCTTGGCTTTCTTGCATGTAGTTGAATCTACCCTTGACCTTGCAACTTCTCCTGTTGTGTCCCACCTTCCCACAATTATTACAGGTCATTTTAGTGCCCTGCCTTCCTAGCTTTGTGCCTTGAATTGGTGCCTCAGTGTCCTTTGCTTTATTTTGTTTAGGCCTCTCAGCTCTCTTTTTCACATCAGGTGGCAACAACTTTGCATACTCAGTTCTTGGCCACATTTCTCTACCATTAATAGGAGTCAACATATTGTCATAGATATTCAGATAAGTCTCCACCTTGTAATACTGATGAACATATTTTTCTGGTTCTTGGCCCAAGAAATTTGTAGTAGCCATAACATGGGCACATGGAATGCTTGACAAATCCCACTTCCTGCAGCCATAAGTCCAAGCTTGCAAGTCCAGCTTGTATTGCTCACCATATGGCCCTATAACCTCAAATTGCTCACTGCTATTCCTTTTAGGAATCCATCCACCTGCATCCACTTTCAGGACATATAGGACCATTGTGTCTTTGCATTACATCTCTTCTTTTTTGAACTATTTCCATCAACAACAACCTAATCTTCTCTAACATTGTAACCACAGATTTACTCCTAGCTTCCAAGATGCTTGAATTGAAGCACTCACATAGATTGTTTAGCAAAAGGTCACACTTTGGAAAAGTGTTAAAGTGGCTCCTACTCCATTGAATTGGTGGTCTTTCAACTAACCAATCATATGCCTTAGAATCAACTTCCTTAATCTCTGCCATCACTCTGGTAAATACAGGAACAGTTGTTGCCCTTGCAGCCTTCCACAACAGATCTTTTGAAACCAACCCCTTGTGTTCACCCTTAAAATTGTTGTACAAATGCCTCACACAAAACTTGTGTGAAGCATTTGGGAACAACTCAGCCACTGTATTAATCAAACCCCTTTGTTTATCACTCATGAAGGTATAACAATGAGAGTTTACAATATTCAGATCATGTCCTAGCAGCTCTAGAAACCGCAACCATGTTTTTTTCTTCTCTTTCTCAACAATTGCATAGGAAAATGGAAATATGCAATTGTTTGCATCTATCCCAACAGCACTCAAGAGAATACCACCATGTGACCCTTTCAAATGGCATCCATCAACTCCTATGACTGGCCTGAAAGCATTCATAAAAGCTTTCTTCAATGGACCCCAACACAAGTACAACCTTTTGAACTTTGACTCCGTATTTGTAACACCCGCATCCTTTAAATCCTTTGGAGAGTGCATTTAATTCCCTTATTTTCATTTTGGGAGTCTTTGGAGTTATTGAATGTTGGTTTTGGAGGAGTGTAATCCAATTTAATCTTGTTGGGTTTGGTTGTTCGCGTTTGTTCTGGTCAAAAGTTCCTTGGAAACTTAGAAATTTTGCCTTGGGGTCGACACTAGCCTTCCTGAGGGTCGACCCTTGCATGTTGTCATGTTTCTGGAAGTGCCGCTGGAAAATAGGGTCAACACCAGCCTTGGTGGTGTCGACACTTACCTCTTGTTGCTGTCCACAAGGGTCGACGCTACTCTGGGAAGGGTCGACCCTTGTATATTGCAAAATCTATGTTGTTGGTTGCTGGAAAATAGGGTCGACCCTTCTTGTCAAAAGGTCGCCACCTTGCCTGTTGCACATATTGCTTTTCTTCCTTGAGGGTCGACACCTTTGCCCGAAAGGGTCAACCCCTGCGTGTTTTCTTTTCAGATTTTTGGGCTGGTTTAGGCCCTACTTTTGAGGGGTTTTGGGCCCATTATTTTACTGACTTTAGGGCCACTTTTGTACCACTATAAATAGGCTCCAAACATGTTTGATTTCACTTTTTCTCTTCATTCCTCTATCTCAAACCATGAGCTCTCCTCTCTCTCTCTCTCTCTCTCTCTCTAAACTCAAGCTTTTGGCAGTAAGATCTCTAGATCTACTCACCTAGAGTGATTGTTCCACCATGGTCCTTTGAGAAAAAGTGTAGATCTCATCAAAAGTTTCCTTTTGGTCCGATTGGTTCGTGGCTTCGTCGCCATTGATTTTTGGGTCGTCATCCTCTTGGCTTCAAGAGGTAGGGGTTTCTAGTTCTCTTTCAATATCTTCGTCTATGGATAAATTTGTGGTATTTTCTTTATCTAAACACAAAAGTTTATATTTTTAGGCATATTGTGATGAATCACGAGATTGGGGGTTGGGGTTTGAAGAGAGTTGGGATCATTTGTTGGGTTATTATCTTGGGTCATGAGTTTGGATGTAAAAATAATAGAAGGGTTTGAATAAAATGTGCTTTGTGAAAAGGTTTAATTTCGCTTAAAAACCCTAAATTGATTCATGATGATAATTAATGATTTTTCCCAAATTGAAAGTAAAATCATGAAATTGAGGTATTGAATTATATATATACAAGTTTAATTTGAACTTTGGAAGTGTTTGAAGATTATGTTAAAAATTAGCAAATGAACCCTTATTATGGACATTATAGATCATATTATAAAGTAAAATGAAGATTGGGGAAAATGATTTATTAATGATGTGGATGACATGAGCCTTGGGATGAAATGATGAAGTGAAAGTTTAAGAGTTCACCTTGAATTATGTTGAATTGTGTTGATTATGTTGAATTGTGTTGAGTTATGTAAAATTGTGTTGATTATGTTGAAGTGAGTTGACTATGTTGAATTGTGTTGAATCATGGTGAGTGTGTTGAATTGTGTTGTATTGGGTTATGTTGAGTTTGAATTGTGTTGTGTTGGGTTGTGTTGAGTTTCAATTGTGTTGTGTTGGGTTATGTTGAGTTTGGGTTGAGTTGTGTTGGGTGGTGTTGTGTTGGTACCCGCGTGAGGAGTTGAAAAATGGTTTTTCGGTGCCCACGACCGTCCGTATCATAGCCGATAAAAGTGGGGTATTGTTTTTAAAAATTGAAAAATGGTTTTTCTCGGTGCCCACAACCGTCTGTATAATAGTCGGTAAATGTGGGGGTGGTTTAAATTCAAGGTGCCCAATTGCCCTGTCCAGGCTTATTGCTGGACGAATGTGGGAAAATGATTTTGGGTGTCCACACAGTCCTGCCGTATTGTAGCCGGCGAAAGTGGAAAAATGTTTTTGGGTGTCCACATAGTCCTGCCGTGTTGTAGCCGACAAAAGTGGAAAAACGGATGGTTTTCGAAAATGTTTTGTGTGCCCACGTCTTGCCGTATGATAGCCGGCAAATGTGGGGAATGGTTTTTAAAAGGTTGAAAGCGATTTTCGGAAAAGGCATGGTTTTTGAGAAAATGATTTTTGGGAGTTCACTTCCCGTCGTATAATCGTCGGCAAAAAGGTGGAATATGCTATGAATTGGGTGCCCACTATCCCGCCGTATCAAGCCGGCAAAAGGTGGAGTGTGTTGTGACATGTATTGAGGTCAATGATGATATATGTGACTTGTGATGAACTTGTGAAATTACCGTTTGATGTATGAATTGGTGTGGAATGGAAATGCTTATGGGAATTATTTGAAACGAATCGATAATGAAATGGTATCTGGATAAGGGATTGGTGATAAAGAACTCACCGGGTTATTTGTATCTATAAAGAAAACTTAAGAGTTTTGCTTTATGATTAATTGAGAAATTGCATTAAAAGAATTTATTATCCTAGTGATATATCAAATTATAGTTGGTAATGCAAATGTGGATGTGATGTAAGTGTTATTGGATTTCTATGTTAGAGAGTTATAGCAATAAAAGATCGGCAGGTGGGAATGAAGTGTATGAGGGTTGTTTTGAGTATTAAGGGAACATGAATTTGAGGTCATGGAGTTGTAATAAATTTAACTAGTAAAAGAGGAGAATGGGAATAAAAGGATAAATGTTAAGATGGATATTTTGTAACGCCCTCAAATTAAACCCATAAACCATACATTCTTGATATGCTTAGACATAAAAGAATAAAGGATAATTGCATATCATCAGAGTATTCATTACACAATGTATTACATGTTGACAACAAAAGTAAGTGCCCTATAAGCTTACAACTTTCCAAGTCAACACTTGGTTACAAAACAAGAGTACTAACTCAAGATACAAAATAAGCCCTTGACTTGATATACGTGCAATACAAAGGGAAACAACAAAAAGTTCAACAGCCTCAAGCCTCCCAAGCTATGTCCTTGGAGGTGGCATGCTACCTGTACCTGAAAATGATGTCCCATATAGGGTGAGCCAACGCCCAGTAGAGATATGCTAAACATGATATAAGCAAATACTAAAACATTCGCCAATGATAAATGTTTAACTCATATGGATCATTTCATAAACCATTGCTTATCCAATTCTCATGCATACCTATGGCTCAGAACCTGGCCAAACAATTTGATTGAGATCACATCTCATATCAACAGCATTTCTATTTCAGATGAGATAATAACTCATATTAAACATTTCACACTACATATCAGATACACATTTTGGTGCTGTATAAATAACACCTGACGCACTTCCATACATCATAAATGATATACATTTTAGTGCTGTATCAATATCAAACGAAAACACTTTCACACTTTACAAATGATACACATTTTAGTGCTGTATCAATGGAGTCTATCTCCTATCTCCTCCCACACAATATCTGGTTTAGAGGTCCATCCCCTATCTTCTCCTAAACCGTGGAGTACATCTCCTATCTCCTTCCACATAACACAATGTATATAAATACATATCATATACATAATCAAATCAATACATAAAATTCATGTATTATATCGACTGCCATATTCGATGGCATACTCATTTGATTAGTTTTAGTTTGCCTAATCATCATGCATTGTCTACAACAATCAAGACTATCCTTCACCGATAGCCCAAAGCAATTATTTCTAAACAGATAATAAATGCGTCAACAGATAAATAATCAATATTTTCAACAGTGAGCGATTAATAAATCCAACTCCACAATCTCATCTCATAATGAACCATTTTCATTATATTCAACTTAATTTCAATAAACCCATAATTTTCTCGAATTAATTATACCAATTAATTTATGCACAAATTAGGGCTTTCTCTCCCATTTCTCAATATTAACCCAAAGGTTCAAATATCGACAACCAACACAATACTACCATTTTGAGACCCAAAATACATGTTTAAGAATCAAAATAACAAAACCCCCTTTATACATTTTGAAACCCTAAGTCCCAAAATTTCCCAACTTCCACATTTTATCCAAATGACCAACAATTTAAGTCAAAGCCCATAAGAATGAGTAGTTATCCCTACCTCAAGAGATGAACCCAAATGGTGATGATGAAGAAATCCGAAATGCTCCAAATCATGAATTTTTCAGATTGATAGGAAGCCCACACCAAGCTCTACAACTTTTGCAAAGGAACTAAGGTAGAAGGTCACTCTAACTAGATCAAACCTTAGAGAGAAGGTAGGTTCTAGAGAGAGGAGCTCTCAAAATCAATTTTGGGAAAGTAAGAGAGAGAAAGGAAATGTAAAAAGTGATCCAAAAAGTCAAATCCCGAAGTGATATACCAGTCGCCTCGCTCGAGCGTGGAAACCCCCACTCGAGCGTCAGGCACAGACTCACGCTCGAGCGTTAAAAGAGCCGCTTGAGCGTCGATTGCACACCTGCAGAAGTTTTGTAGACATGGTCCCCCCTTGAGTGTCAAACTCCCCGCTCGAGTGGAAGAACAAAATCAAAGGATCACGCTCGAGCGTCAAAACTCCCGCTCGTAGACCTGCAGAGCAAAGTACTGGGAGATGGAAAATTACGCTCGAGCATCAAAACTGCCGCTCGAGCTGAGAAGCAACAACAAGGGGCCCGCTCGAGCGTCAAAAGCCCCGCTCGAGCCTAAAGGCCAAATTCTAGGCATCAACCTTTGGTTTCAAAACACAACCAACCTGTTCCAAACCCACCCAACACAATCCATGACTCAAATATAACGAGTAAAGGATGGAAATGAGAATGAGACAACAACACAACCACGGAACCAAGTCCGGAATACAGTATACAAAGGAAAGGAAAACCGGGATCGCTATAACCTTCCCCCTCTTAAAGAATTTCGTCCCCGAAATTTAGTATGCGTTTTCAAAAACAAGTTTTCTCAAATCCCTACAACATTACAACTCATTATTCAACATTCCGACCCGTTACCAGTCATCTCATCTCTTTCCAAGAGGCAAATCACAATATAAAATTCAATATGCATTATTAACCTGCTTTCCCTTGAAATTTACCAATTTTAACACATTCTCCACAATTTTATAATATT